AGAGAGAGAGAGAGAGAGAGAGAGAGAGAGAGAGAGAGAGAGAGAGAGAGAGAGAGAGAGAGAGAGAGAGAGAGAGAGAGAGATGTGATCTGCAGGTTGTCGGATGGCTCCTCAGTGTTGTCACAGGTTGTTGATCACCTGGCTTGGTTCCTTCAAATGCGCAGCTTTTGTTGAGTAAATGGGACCTCCACGCCATCGCTTGTGGAGCTGCCCTTTCCCCTTCCTCCCTGCTCTTACGATGTGAGGAAGGAGGCGCCGTAATCATAACTTGTGCATATTCAGAAAAGCACAATAGGGAAAAAAAGCACGAGAAGGACGTAGACAAGGAGGAGGAGGAGAAGGGTGGGGCAGGCATCTGTTGGTCTGTTCGACCCCAGAGCGACTCAACATGGTGGGGTAGGCATCTGTTGGTCTGTTCGACCCCAGGGCTACACACAGGTAAGCAAACACACCACGTGTGTGTGCGGTATGTTGGTCCATCCATGCTGGTGGTTCAAACCTGTGTGTAGCTACCCGAAGCCCGTGCCCAACATGTTATTTTTTTATCGATGTTGTGGGCTGGAATCGTTAGTTAAGAACTGAGATCTGAACTTCATTGCTTGTGACATAAACTTCAGGCTTCAATGTTAGACCTTTGCCACTACCTCTTCCTGCTGAAAAAAAAAATGAAACAAACAATCTCTTCTGATGTTTACACGTGTCTTCTTGTGTTGTGTCGAGAGCATCGTCCTTGTATCATTTCCCCACAATTGTTGTGCGCTGTGTCGGGGAGAACAAGCAAAGGGCAGGCGAAGGGAACACCGATCATGGTAGAGCTTCACATCATATAGCTCATGGTACTAAACAACCAAAGACAGTCAGTGCTTTTTTTTTTCTTTTTCTTTTTTTTTTCCAGCCTTGACCTTCTAAATGTATGCACAGATTCGATCCGGCGCCTCCGGCATCCTCCGTGCATGCACGGATTCGAACCGGCGCCTTCAGCATCAAGAGCCAAGGGAATGTCAATGGCTGACTGGCATCATCAAAGCTCATCGTACGGTATTATTTCCAGCCTTGGACCTCCTCCATGCATGCACGGATTCGAAACGACGCCCTCAGCGTCAAGAGCCAACGGAATACCAGTAGCTCATGGTATGATGTTTTAATTTTGCACCTTGCATGAACCACATCATGATAGCATCAACACAAATTGAACATCGTCTCCCAATAGAAGAGACAAGTGTTAAAAAAAAAAAAAAAAAAAAAAAAAAAAAAAGAGAGAGAGAGAGAAGTGTTGCGCTCCATGTTGGGGAAAAGAAGCGAAGGCAGGGCAAGGTAACAACCATTGCAGAACTCCATCATCGTAGATCTTTTTTTTTTTTTTTTTTTTTTTCAATTTTAGATCATATTACTATTGTTATACTTGGCAGATATTAGCCAGAGTCCCGTCATGGCATGCCATTATGATGATGGGACTCACGGTACTATGTTCGAACTCGAGAGTTAGCACGAGTTCCATCATGCGGGGCTTGCTGATGGAGGAGTTTGCTGAAAGAGCAAGCTCCATCATCCTCCCGACGAGTTGGTGAAGCTCCGGCGAAACAGGTTGTTACAGCCCCTCGCTGTTGTCCTCTTCTCCCTCCATCTCTCTGCCTAGGTTTACCGGGAAGCTCTGTTTGACGATATATCTACATCTATATACATTTATATGGATTTTCGATTCCAATATGGTTGGCTCGGCCGAGAATATGGTCGCGGACTCTGGATGATACCATGCATAATACCATGATCGGCTGTGTCGAAGAATCCTGCCGTTGGCCGTGGGCTGTGTGGGCACTCGTTCTCTCCTTCTCTGTGTGTGTGTGTGTGTGTGTGTGTGTGTGTGTGTGTGTGTGTGTGTGTGTGTGTGTGTGTGTGATCTTCCCCTT